AAAACATATTTGCTCATATTATTTCTGATTTATTTATTAGTTTCGTGTTACTTCTTCTTTCAACAATTTTTCTGATTAATAATTTTTTTATTAAGTCTGTGGACGTGATTTATGATATAATGAAAAATAAACTCTAAATTAATCTCTCTTTTTCTTGCGAAAAATAAGTGAAAAATATAAAATATAGTTTTTTGTACAATACTTAAATTTTGCAAAAATTTACTTTGGTCTCATTCGATTCTGTTATCCTATCTGCTATTTTTAGTCAGCCAGGATGGAAATTTAACGTAAAATTCGTAGCGTTTTCGAAAACCCAATTTAATCCTATAAAAAATTAAATTCCATTAAATGAGCATGAAATGCAACGATTGCGCGAAGCACACAGTTTTGAAGTCGTTGGTTCAAATTCGTCTGGCGAACGACAGTATTTTTGAAGGGCATCGTGTTAAAAGCACTTGCGTGCTAAAAAACAGGACTCAATGAAACGATGACGAAAAAAAAAAAACATTTTGTATACGTGAAAAATGTTTTCATAAACATAAATGTGAAGAAAACCGACAAATCGATATCGAGTCAGCAGCGCATTTCTACTGCTTTTCACGGGTAAAGAAACTGCTTCTGACAGTTCGAAACAGTTTAATTTTAATGCATGAATTGATCCGCTGTTGCAATACACAAGCTGCGTAAAAGTTGTCGCCTATAGTATTCGCTACTCAACAGCTTTAACAAATCGAATGTTTTTAACGTTATTTACGAGACGTTGAGATTTCGCGATATTTTACATAGTTGAAGAAAGCTCGCGATTGTACTCTTTTTAACACCAGAGAAGATTCTCTCTCACACTAAATATAAACCCAGTACTGAAAGGTTAAAGATATAGCAGCCACTAGCTGTCTCGAGAAAGGTTAATGAAACTGAACATTAATCTTTCTCGCCGGCGAAAGTAGAAGTAAGCGATATAATAACGTTCTTAATTTTATGAACGATTTTGCCGGTTCGTTTAAATCCTTTGTACTTATATTGTGGAAACGTACTGCACCATTTACTAATCATACAATACGTATTAAACTCACGCAACTTATTCCGATCAATATTTATTCACAGAACTAATGGATGGAATTGTTCGATCATTTCGCAACCATCTGAAGTTTTGATTAATTAAAGATTTCGCATCATGGATAATTTGAGCGAAAAGCTTTATTCATTAATAAATAGAGATAATCACCTTCTATTTGTTCTTTTTTTCACATTACATTGTCTAACTTTATTTCGTTGCTTTATCTGAATTCAGGTTTAAATTGTTTGGATATATCTTGAAGGAACAATTTAAAGCTCGAAAGCCCAAAGTTTGAAGCGTTTGAGTTGTTCGATCGTCAGAGCACTAGTTGCGAGATGAGGCTCCACTCACAGCTGTCGCTTCCTCGCGACACTCCGAATTTAACTATGTTAGTCAACGGCTAAAAGTTCCACTGACATTTTCCCTTCGCTTCGACGCCTTCACTCGGCGGCACATCCTATTCGCAATAAATTTGTCAGGTGGTCATTTGGAATATAATATTGATGTTCTTTACACTCCAGCTTCGTTGATCGACGTCGTTTATTTTAATAAATTGTAGAATTGTATATTAATCATCATGACAGTTGGAATATTATTTGGATTTTTTTCCCGTGATTTAACGTAAAGGTGAATAAGGCTCTAAGAAACATCGACCTTGTCGATCGTATCAAACCTTGAGTTTTATAACGTCGGACAAACAAAATTTGTTATTAATGATCAGTCGTTACTTATGTTACTATTTGAGTGGGATATATTGAGTTGATTGCAAAAATATTTTATGCGACGCTAAACTAGCTAATATTACACGTGGCTCGGGTAACTCCTGCCGCGACCTCATTCGGAATATTCACCCCGCTCGTACCAGGCACGCTTCGTAGTCGGAAGGTGTGGTCGCGGAAAAGTGCCTTAAAATTGGTCATAAAAAATTGATATTTAAGAATCACCGTACACGTAATCGGACGTGGGCGCTCGGACTTTCGTAATATCGCGTGACATTTTGCCCTTTCTCGTTCCTTTTATCGCGTGCACATAGTATTTTTCAGTGACCCTTGCGTCTTTGATTATGTCGATGCTTGATAAGCAATTTTGCTAATGTCTTTCACCTGGCGTAATAATGCGTTCTTAATGAGACGTAAATCGGAAATCTCGTGGAAGAAATATTTTAATTAATTAGCTCGAAAAATTTACACATTGCATATTTTATTATTGCGCATTTGACGAAGAAATCTGTAGAAGAAAATCGCGAAAATTTCCAGTTTTTATCAACATTGTATACATTTTTTACGCAGCTGTTTCCGCTCGTTCGAATGTTTTGTTGCCATATTTCGCGAGAATATGTCACACATCAAAAAGAATAATATATAATTACGTCCTTCGCGCGTATCCTTTGTGTGCGAGTGGCAAAGCTCCGGAATAACACGGAAAGTAGGCTAATCCGTGGCTTGATATTTTAGACTACAAAGACTACAGTCGAGAAGGCGAAACGAGTGGGCGGAAGGGACGAGAGCGGCTACTTTGTTACTTCGGACGAGCGCAAAGAAGATGCGCTTCTTTTTTTTTTTTTTTCTAACAATAAGGCTTACCGGTTGGAGGTGCGGATATCCGGTGAAGTCAATATTAGTCGCGAATTGTTCATTTACTTTGTCATAATTGAGATGAGAACAATATGTGATGAAATCGATACGTAATTAGCGAATATTGCTAAGGCATATGAAGCGAATATAACACGAATCAACCCGTATTTCCATTAACGAGAGGTAAATAATGCGAAAATATGGAAACTCTGAGTTGAAACGAAGAAATTATTCGTCATGAACAAGGACAAGTAAACACTTGCTTTCCAACTGTTTGTTAATTTCGTGTTTCTCTACCGCTTAGCAAATACATCGTCGCGCAAAATTGATAAACCTGCCAAGGCAGGAATATGAATACGATCGGTATAAAGATACTGGCGTTGAAATATGTGTAATGTTTATCATTGAAAGTTCAACATCAATTTCAGAAACTTCCCCGATATTATACCGAAATTATCGTCGACTAATTGAATCAAGTTTGATTTTTAAAGATAATTATTTTTCATATTTTATAAATATTGATCAACAATAATTGCTCAATACATTTCGTAATAATCATAATTAAAATACAGAATTCTAATTAAAAGTCGTACTGTAGAATCTCATTCGATTTCACGATGCGCACTCATACATATGCGCAGATGAATGAAATTATTACGTCGCGATAAGAAAAATGTCGTTTCTCCTTGACGAGATTATTCAGCGTTAATTATATTTTTCAACGCTAGCGTAAACAAGAAAGGCGAGACCTAGCCGTTCCTCACGCCGCGTTTTTGATGTACATCGCATGACGTGAGTTACGAAGAAAAACGTTTCGTCATGCTGATTCGGTCGTCTTGTAAATCATTTGAAGATGTATAGGTTATATATATTAAAGATTAGAACGCGCCAATAGAGCAGTAAAGCTTTATCTTATCTAGTTATATACGCCCCATAATCTTCACAGATGCATATACTATACATCATATCATGTGTTTTTTTTTTTAAATGACTTTTTCTACTTAAAAGGTGTTGTCGTAAACAAACTAATAAATTTCTCAGATATGTCAAGAACATTCACTCCTGAATAAATTTTTATCTTTACGCCGAGATTCTTCAGAGAGTGAACTTAAGAATAAGTTGACTTGAGTGGTTTCGAGAAAACCGGATGATTTCAATATTTATGTTCGATTATGCCAAGCAGTTAGCGGCATTATCGTCGCAATATTCATAAGTTCACATGGAATCGATCTTCGGACGAGGGACGATCCGCGTTAATCAAAGAATTTAAAAAAAGTTTCCATGTCGCGAATCCATGTGTCGATTTGCACATTGGTATGAAGTTAATGCCAGGCTGCGCTAATCGCTTATCTGAATTAGTAATCGCGGTCAATGGAGACTCTTGTTAGCTTACGTCAACCGTACCTGTTGCAAGAGGAACCCAGATGGTCCCGGCACTCGCGCGGCTCTCCAGAAACGCTCTCCTCCGTGCGCGAGCTGGTGCTGGTGCCTCGCAGTGCCCGCCGTCGTTGCCCCGGGCACGGCGGCGCGTCGCAGGACTCCCGGACGATGCTGATCGCGTGCTAGCTGTCCGACGCTCGTGGTTTCGACTCGCGGCGCGGCATCGATTCTCCTGCCCGTCGTGTCCTCGCGAGCGTGGTGCCCGCGACGGTGACTCCACGCTCCGTGGAACAGCGCGCGTGCGAAGCGGCGATCGCTTCCTGATCGCTACACTCACACGTCGAGCGATAACGGCGGCGCGATAACGATGCCGTGTCCTGCGGAACAACACGTGTACTGTTTCGCGTGCAGCTGAGAGAGCGTCTGGCCGTCTCTTCTTCTTCTTCTTCTTCTTCTTCTTCCTGCACACGTGTTTTCTTTCGCTCGCGATCTTCGCACGAGAGACAGAGCGCTCCGATCTTCCGCGTCGCGTCGGGAAGTTTTAGAAGGCGCTGTTAACCGTCGCTGATAGTCGATGATGGTGAGCGGACACGACGGCATCGGCTCCGGCTTTTCCACGGTTAGAGGGAAGTCGTCCTGCGGCGCGACGAACGAGCGAGTCTGACAGGAGGTATAGCACGCGCGCCTCGGTGCACCGCGCACGTGCCGGCACGCAATCAGCCACGACAAGGGCGGCGCAAATACGGGGTCGTATACTGACCCTCACATATCAACGTTGATCTGTTATCAGATGTTCCATTTTTCAAATACGATTCACTCGAATCTAATTGTTTCGATACTGTAAGATGATAATAATGAAGTAGAGAGCGAAAAGAATAATAAAACGAAATTAATTTGTAAATTATAATCAATGTGACAATTGAAGTAAATTCTCGAGGAATGAGATAACTCTATAATATTTTCTGAAAAAAAATTAATAAATCGCATAGGACGCGTCGATGCACGATGACAGCAAAATTCACACTCTTGGAAAGAAGACGGCAGTGACAGGGCCACGTATACGGCACTTTCAACCCTTAATAAAAGCCACGCTGGGGGGATGTACGGTGAACCTACATGATGGACAGGCTCGCCAACTTCTCGATGGTTCCAGGTAAAATTATCCGGTAAATACCAACCGTTTGCGGCACAGGTTGCAATCGCGTGTCTTCTTGATAAGTCTCCGACCACAAACTGGTCGACACGACGCGCTGATTATAGATCGCTCGTGACGCCGTTTTACTTTATTACGAGGACACCGAGTGTCCGAAGAGCGTGACGTCACCCCCTCGCCGTTACATTGGAGCGCGCGACGTTTCCGCTTATCGATACGGTTTGAATTATCGATCGTCGACGAGGTCGAAACGCAAACGTGCAATCCATCGCGACCTCGTCAGTTCGGAACTAAAGTTTATTCTATATTGTAGCCTTGATTGGCGATGCAAAAGAATGCCGCTTGTCTCGCGCGATTCTTGCTTACTCGGTGCTCAAATTCGAAGTGGAATTCATTAGAATATACATTGCTGAAAGTACGACGCACATAAATTTCTTAGCTCCTTCGCTGTTTTATCTATCTTATCATAGCTTTAATTGAGCTTTAATTGCTGAAATATTTTTGAACGAGATTTCGAAATCTCTCTTAACTTGCACTTAAACTCTTTTTCAATCTTATTATCTAAAAATGTTTCAATGTTTCTTTAAAATGTCAAACGTTCACGCAAAAATAATTTGTTAGCAATATTTGAAATATCAATCTATTTATTTTGCTCCTTGAGAATGCAATGAGAATGCAATTAGAGAAAGATTTTAAAAGCACTTTACACTTAGAATCATGCATAATTCTATTATAATTAATTTCGAAATATTGGAAGAAAGCGAAATTGGATACATAACAAAACTAAATAATGATGGATGATGACATTGAAATCGTATTACTTCGAGACTCACTCACAATCGATTTCGACCAAATGAGTGATTGCCGAAAGAAAGTGTTCGTTTGATATTTTAAAAGCATTTTTATCAAGTACAGTGTATTATGCAATCAATTGTATAAATATAAGCCTAATAATTTCGAAAAATAGCGATTATTCATATTTTCGAAAACTAGAGATTAAACTCATCTTTTCCGAACTGTGTTAAATATGCAGTTTGATGGAAATGAAGATTATTTATCACAAAGTTATTTAAAACTTTTGCCAAACTGCTTTAAAATTTAAATTTAAAACAAGATAAATTTAAAACGCTTTAAGAATAAACTTTTTTATCGTACAGCAATCTTTCTGTCTGAAGTAATAGCGAAGTTTCGCGATTTTCAGTTGTTTGAAGTCCTCGTCGACTTCGTCGCGTTGCCTCTTCGTGCGGAATGTCGCGTTGGGTCGAAATTTCAATAGATAGGTACTATGAATTACAAGCGTAAGTCCACGACTTGTCATAGGAAGGTCTATGTCGACGCTTACTGTCGCTGCTTACGTAATTGGCAGCGTAAATATACTTATGCTAGGTATACTAGTCGCATATACAACGCTACCACCAGTCGTGTAACGATGATTCACATAAATATTGCCGCCAATAACGCGCGATATATAATAATGTCGCGCAATCACGGGTGCAATCAATTCGTCCATCGAGCGTAACATTAGCTAGGTCATCAAAAATGTAAAAAATCGTTACGTATACAGACATTTATTGTGGTAACATGGCAAATGCAAAAAGATTATTATGTCTATAATAACGCTGCGCGAGCACGTGTGGACGATTCCTTCGATCGTGATGTACGAATCGCGTGATATCGGGACGAGACTCTCCGCGATTTCGTCACGCGCGTTTACCTCGCTAATTGAGCATCGCGGAAAAGTTGGATCACGACGTTCACGAATATTTCATTTCGCACTTTCAAGGCCGCGGGACTGTCCAGTGATGCCGCTTCATCATCGATTAGACTTGTGCGGACGTTTCTTCGTGCATTTCTTCCTGAGTATAGTCGACCGATCTGCGGTGTCGCTTAAGAGAGAAATTTTAGAGAGAAAATTTCGCATTTTTTTAATGGAATCATTAAATTGTTTCAGAAAATTGATTGGAAAAGATCAATGAAAGAAAAGATTACTTAATAATTCATTCAAGTATAATTCGTATTGCAATGCATATTCTGCTTTCAAGCTCACCGTAATAAGTTTTTTTCGTAACGTCTTTTTATTTATTGCATGTACATATTTAAGAAATATTAATTACTCGTCTTGCACATAATATTTTCCAACACAAAAAACTGTATTGCATTTAACAATTGCTTTGATTTGAAAAATATCATTAAGTAACAATTAATCATAAGTCTTCATTATGATTAATAAAAAATCCATTGTATAAATATATATATATATATATATATAATAAATACTTTTTAAATAAATTTAATAAAATTTATTTCAGATTTTATCTGCCAAGGCGCCCTGTGCGACCTTGCATATTCAATCGAAGGTTATTCGTGAATAAATATTCATGCTGTCGCCGTGGTCTACGTCCTGCTGAAATCGAAGTGGCGTTAACACAGACACACATATATACACAAAATAAAAAGTTAATGTTCCATGTTTATCTAGAACAGACATTCATTAAGACGCTCGTTAAGTTAGGAAACCATTAGCATGTTAGCATACGGAATGTAACTAAACAAAAGGATGTTCTAATTACATTTTGTAGATGTAATTATTGACTGAAATTATCACAAGATAATAGATTCAGTCGTGGAAGATAACACTTAACAGTTATAATATATCACAACGAGCTGAACAATAATTCTTTAAGAAAGCATTTTTAAACATATATATATATATTTCTTGGGAACTATCCAAAAAACTAGATCTCTTGTTTTAATTAACATGCACCTTTCCATTAGCCCTACCTTTACAGCTGATTACGGTACTCTCGTAATTAGTAACAATATCTGCACGATACTGATCGCTAATTAAAAGCCAGGCATTGTTTACACACACACACATTTAACCATATAAATTATTACATTGTTAAGTTATGAATCGCGTTTATATACAAGATGTCCCAAATACGGCACCCCGTACCTATTATCCTTTCCAACAGTACTATCATTAATTATTATTTTCCGTACTTTTCGATCTCACTCTTCCCGTCGTTACTTATTACGGACGCCCAAAGTGTCGAACGTGTAATCCGTGCGATGATTCGAGTTTTACTTTGCCCGAATGACAAAGTACGCGTCGAAAGTTTTAAAATATCGCGCGATTTTTGTATTCGCATCTTTTTATAACGCACTCCTAATTTCAATAAATGATTAATTATTTGCACTAAATAATGTAAGAATTGTTCAATTATGTTATACGCATTTCTTAATTGAACTTGATTATTTATACTTTCTTTATAAATATTAATAAAACATCGGACTTTATTAAATTAGATAACATAGTGGATTATTATTCTCACTCACATTATCATTTTCTTTCCCTTGAGATAATAGTGCCTTTACTTTATTTAACACATTATATTCCCTTGTCATAAACTTGTCAATTAATAACTATTAATTTTTTTTGTTCTTAGTAATAATAATCAATGAAGTTTGTTTTTGGAAAACTTACGTAATTTTTTATCTGATTTTTATCGAGCAAAAAACGAATGATACATAAAACAAAAGATAACAACGATATCATCCGATTCTAGGTTTGGTACAAAACGCATTGGGAACAAATTGACTCCAAACTCACGCGCGTTTTACAATTTCCGAACTCTGCTAGTTCTGCTAGTTAGAAAGCTAGTTTTTCGGTTCTACCAGCTCTATGATTAAATATTGTTGCGTATTTCGTACGTGACATTATTTTTGATATTGTGCAAATGATATGCATTAAACGATGAAATTTTATACCAATATTAATTATCAATTCTTTGAAATCTAATTGTCAATTGAAATCACGCATTTCTGAATAATGTTACATATTAGACATATTAACGATAAATTGTATTTTCTAAATCTACACCGAAAAGTTACTTTATCGAAAGACGAAAAATATGTATGCACATGTAGCAAAGAGATTGCATATACAATATGTGTCACGACATAAATGATATTCCTGAACACAGATGCCAGTATGTGTTTGATACGCGATCTTATAAGATATAACGAACATGAGAGTTTGCTATATGATTACTATTTAATGATTATTTTCTGATATTATTGGATAATATATGATGTTATATATATATATATATATATAGTTATATATAGTTGATAGTATTTGAATAATATAAATTTTTATTTAATAAATATCTCTGGCTGTTTTATAAAGTGGATGTTATTCATTCTTTTTTAAATCAATTAAATTGTATGTTAATTAAGTAATATAATTCTAATCAATACTTTTGCATAATAATTGAATGGAAGCTATAGAAATATGTGTATATATATATAATATATATTATATATCGATTAAATGTTATAATTTAATTAATTAGAATTGTTTTAAATTTATTTTTTAGATATTAAAATTGTGAAATATCGTAGATGAGCTTTAAAAAACAAGTTACGACTTCTGTCTTCGCCGATTCAATTTCTATTCTATTCAAATCGATGAATATTAATGCGTTTCTTTCCTAGGAAAATTTATAATGGTAAATTCATCAATGTCGTTTAAACTCTACGAAATTTTATTATCGTGCACATCGTGTGCAGACAATGCCTAGATCCACGTTGCGATTAAGATAATGTCACGCGTTAGGTAGAAAACTAGAGAAACATAGCGCGAAAACGGAATGTGCCTTGTCGAGATACAGAAGATAAATACGGCATGCTATATGCATTTGATCTTACCTTGATAATAGTTGTTATCTCTGCGGAATTTTCAAGGAAAAAAATAGCATACATTGTTAATTTACACACACATACAACATTTAATTTTTTTTTTCAACTGCAACTGCCATCACGCATACAAGTTGACACGCTGCGATTATGGAAATTGTATTAAACTCATCGCACGATTATACACACGATTATAAACACAAATACGTAGTTGTTTTAAAAACAAAACGTAGTTATAAATACAAAAAATACATATAATACTATATATAATATAGTACATATATACAGGGTGATTCAAAATAACCTGATGTCCTTGCAATGCCATATTCTTGAGCGAATTCTGAGACGATTTTTCTTTTTACAAAATTTTGTCCGAAGCTTAGTTTTCGAGTTATAATTGAAAATAGTTTGCTACTTACGAGTCCGATACAACGGACAGGCAGGGACGGTGCAATGCGTCATGAGACGATAGTAAACACTTGACAGT